TCTTATAATTTTGGGAACCCCTGTACATTTATCATATTGATAAATACTTGTTGATCTATTTTATCAATCTAATAATCATATATATAATATTTTATAGTTTACTTAAAGAAGTTTATTGTCTATGTATATTTGTTATGAATAACTAACCGTTTTGCTTCAATAATAGTCGTTTGTATACTTGGCTTTTTTTGACATATGACAGTTGCTAGTCGATTACAAGGTATTTCATCACATCGAATAACTGGTGTTATATCACTTAATAAATCAACATATGCACAACCAATTTGTTGAGCTTTTAAACGATTTTGTTCATTTTTTGATAGAGATTTTAATGAAATTATTTTTGTATAATGTTGATGAAATGTTTGTTCACATAAATCATAAATAGCATTAGAATCTGGTACTGTTCGTAGAGTATTTTTATCGGTTATATTATATTGTATAACAGTACGATTTTGATTATCATAAATAACACCAATATGTGCAAAACCAGATGATGTATAACTACGTCGACGAACAAATAAAGATTTTACTATTTGTAATGTAATCGCTTTTTCAGGTACAAATAACATAGCATTATCACGTTCACATTCAGATTTTGCATCATTCCAACTAATTTCATGAATTGATATTTTATAACAATATTCATCAATAAAATAATAATCTGTATCAGAACCACATGAATAATCTATTGATAAATTAACTGATACAGATAATGATTCATTATTATTAATTGAATGAATTATAGTTGAATTAAATTCTAATTGTTGATCAATACAAACAGGCATAGCTGATACTGATGAACATTGATTTGATTCAGCAATACATTGATCCCAAGTTGTTATATTATTATTTGTATATTTTTCATAACGTATAACAATACAATTTTGATCAATTATATTTGATATTTGTGAACATTTTTCAAGTAAACGATCTGATATTGTATTATTATCAATAATATTTAATGTACGATCAATCCAATAATATTTTGATGTATTATATGAATTAATAAAAGCAAATATTGAAAATGTTTTTGAATAACGTCTATATAAAGTTGTTTCAGATAATATATCTTGAATTTCTAAAATATCATTGATTTTTGCAATAATACCACCAATAGATTTACAATAAGATTGTGCATCTATAAATGAATTTTTCTTTACTGATAAATGACTATATACACATTGTTGATCATTTTCAGAAACTTCAAAACCTAAAAAGAAAAAATAATGTAAAAAAAAAAAAACGATTTTTTCTTTACCATGACGACATTTTGGTTGCATTATATACATTGAATATATTGTTGAATTAATTTTATTTCCACATGTATAAAAATAATTAGCTGAACATTCTTGAGAACAATATTGATTTGAAAGTATAGTTGTATTATATTGTATATCTTTTATTTGTATATTTGTACATAAACATATATTTGAATTAATAAGAGCATATTTTTGTTGATAATTTAAACATAATTGTAAACAATGACGTGGATGAATATTATTTATATTTGTTAAATTAAATTGATATGTTGTTGATAGATTAAAAGAATTTACATGTATACAACTATCATAAATGAAATCAGGATATGGTTCAACTGCTGCACGAGTCTCAGTAAATAAACGTCGAATATCAATAACATGAAAGACAACAACTGTATTTTTATCACCACACTGTTCATGTGTATTACCTTAAATTGTTAATTATGAATATATGTTCAAGTTCAAATTAAGAGAACAAATTTTTTAGAGTAAAACAAAAAAAAAAGTTTTGTATCTATAATATTAGCACACCATACACATTTTTCAAGTGATTAGAACCCATCGAGCCTAAAAAACTTGATCACAAGTACCAATCCGATATCGATAGATCCTAATGCAAAGGATTTACTCTAAATACACTGACGTTTTTCTCCAGAATCAAAAAACAAGTCTTATTCAATTTTGCACTATTTAAATACATAAACTTCTACTCTGTCTTATTAACAAATAAAGATTCATATGTCTATATTTTGCCATAGATAGGGCACTTCAATCTACTGTAATTTTGAGGCGCAGTGAAGTCTTCATTATCTGCGATGATCTTAGTATGATTTGTACTTGTGGCTGTGAAAACTTTAAGAGAAAACTTGATTCGAACAGGCAGTGGAGTACGCAGGGGGGAGGGGGGCCGAGGGGGCCCGGGCCCCCTTGAGACGAAAAAGTCCTGGAGGGGGGTACAGGAAAAAATATTTTCACGTGATAAAAAATTTTTTGTGCCATGGCCGGCCGCCCCTACGAAGTTGGGCCCCCTCCTTGAAAAATTTCTGCGTACGCCACTGCGAACAGGATACTTATTAGAGAAAATTTGAAGGTAAATGATTAAAACAAGCTAGAGATATCGATCACTTTTAAATGATTCTCTTCAACTCTCATGTGGTCATAACTCAAAGAGTGCTTCCTAGATCAGACAAACAAAAAAAAACCGTTCAACATCGAATTTTTATTGGTGATAGAGGCAGCACTCAGTCGTCGAATGCGGGGTTTTAAAGTCATGAAATTTATTTTCTTTACGATCAGTGTAATTAAAGTTAGTAGTTTAATAAAAGAAAATCATCAATATTTATCTTTATAACATACCTGGACAAGGTTGTCCACAATCATTTTGTAAATATTGTGCACGATCTTTTGTAAAATTAAATACTTTTGAAGCATAACCATTTAAACAATAACATTTATTAATATTAATAATAGCTAATTTTGTTTGTAATCCTTGACAAATAGTTAAACATAATTCATATGTTAAAAAATCTGATATAAATGCTGGTAAATCAAGTGCTATTGGTTTACGAAAACAACGTTGTTGAAAATTATGAACAATTAATGTTTTTGTTTCACATAAAACATGTTTAGGTTTTGCACAATTCTTTATTTGACTAGTATTTAAAATAGGATTTTCTTTATTTTCCATAATAGTACGTGAAACAAGAATACATGAATTATCAATTTCACTTGAATTATTTTCATCACTTGGATTAATCATTTGAAATTCATTTATAGATGAACGATAAATATTAACATTTAAATTTGATGATGTTAAATTTTTATAATATAGACGAGATAATTGAGTTGTTGATTTATTATTTGATTCATCTAAGAAAGAATTATTTTAATTATAGATATGATCTAAACTATTTTCTATTTGTTTCACTTATAGATCTAGACAGAGATGGAACCGATCTACCAGTAACGTATAATACATTGATAATTCACAATAAGAAAAAAAAAAAGTAGTTTAGATATGGTGAATACAGTTTATCGCGTAGCAAACTTGATTTGCTAAATTGTATTACATGTCTGATATAGAGATGAAACTAGTCTGAAAAGGTTAGACAGATTGGTTTACCGGTACTGGTTCCATCACTTCAATCCATGAGTTACTCTATTGTTGAAGAAAAAAAAACGAGTTCCTCTATCGAAAGAATTGTTGAAATAGTTCAACTGAGATAAAGAATGTTTGCAAAACTTTTATTCGAGGAACTGAATTATTTCAAAAGTTCTTCAGATCCAAACTAAAACTGACTTTATTTGCTCTTATTTACTTATTAATCAATATGACTCTTTCAATTAAAGATAAAAAAAAAAAAACATCGAAAAGATTGGCATAGTGAAAATTTACCGGTATCAGGAGGTCTATCAAGAAGAAAAAAACCAAGTCGTGCTTGCCATGGTGATATATATTGTACAATATCACTTGTGCTTGAATCATCTAATTCATCATCTTCATCATCATCATCATCATGAAGAAACCAAAAATGAGATTTATCATTTTTCTTTGATTCAGTTGTTATAGTAATACAATTATTTCTTGCATCATGAATTGTTTTACGTTCATCCGACATTCGATAACAACGTCCATTTAAATCAAACCAATTTGTTGGACAAAATTTTATATCCGGATAAAGAGAAGTTATATAAGGTGTTTCATTTTCATCATCATATGATATTGAATATTTATTTATTGGATTTGTTATACATAAACGATATGAAAATCTATCAGAATACGATATATATGAACGTGGACGTAAACAACCATTATCTAATATATAACGTGTATTAGAATTCCAACTTATATAAGAAAAAGTTGATTGTGTTCTATTATTTATTGTTGATGAACATTTCCATGATGAATCAATAATAATATCATCATCAAAATTAATTGAAACAATTGTTTTATTTAAATTTAATTTTTCAATAATTTTTAAAAATATATTCCATGTTATATTTCCATCATAAATATAACTTACAGATGGTGATGTACATGTATTCCAAAATGTTTTATATGCATATATACATTTTTTTAATTCATTTATATAATAATAATCAATTGGACATGAACCATTTAAATCATATATAGCCCATATACGTGAATCTGTTAATGAACCACATTGAAATTTATGTTCAACTTTTGAATCATCCAATGTGTTATCACAATAATGATTACAACTATTATTTTGTAAAATTGTTAAATAATGTGAACGAAATGAGAAATATAATAGTTGTGATATGATGCATATACATTGATTACTATCACTATTGAATGCTAGAAAGAAATTTTTAGTTTTCTTTATTTCGACGTATTGATTTTATTTAAAAAAAAAATTTTTTTTCTATGTATGTTATAATTTATTAATTAATAAATCAAATAAAAGAAAAGAAAAAACGAAATTTTCCTTAAATATTTAATATATCGATTAGTATCTTATAACAGAATCAAATCATTTTGGAAAAAAGAATTGCTTTAAAGTGTTAAGAAATTAGAAATATTAGTATGTGTCAACCAGATCCTAGTTCAAAGTTCAGAATAAATGAGCGAAAGAGTTATTCGAACAACTTCTCTAATAGAAAATTATTTCCCTCAATTGTTCAGTTCGTGGAACGGAATTATCCCAAAAATGTGGTTCATTTTAGGAACGGCATTTCAGTAACAGAACAAATGGTTTTTTACATTTAGAATTGTCATTCCTAAAAAAAGCACTCAAGGCTTTTGTTACATCTAGAAATGTTATTCTGAAGAACAGGAAATTTTTTTTTTTAATACTCGGAAGTGCCATTCCGGAAAACAGAACCAAGGTTCTTTTTTGTATCAGAAAGTGTCGTTTCCAAAAACAGAACAAAGATTTTTTTTAATACTTAAAAATGGCATTCCGAAAATTGAACAAAGGTTTTTTGAGGCATCGTTGTCAAAAGTAGGAACAAAAAATTTTGCGAACAGATCAGTTCAGATCTACAGATAATGCTATATTTCTCGTTAGACTGATATGTTTCAAATGTTAAATGAAAGTATACTGAGTACTATATGAGTGAAAAAAGATTCTCTAGAGAGTGGACTGTTGTAACCGATTCACTCGGATCGATCTATCAAGTTATGTTTATTGATTATAATTAGTGGTATTAAAAAACATTTATTTTCCATATTTTAGCTTAGGCAGTTTTTTTTTATAATTGTCTAATGAGAAATATCATATTCTACTTGCATCAGCTTGTAAGCTCTCTTAAATTTGAATAAATAATGGTTTGCTAGCTCAGCAACACGAGTAACATATCTGACAAATGGTTTCAAATTTTGAATTATTAATTTCTGTGTCTCTCATGTTCTATAGAAGAAATTTCTTATGAAATAAAATTCTATATTTAAGTTTGGTTAGTAAAAAAAAGACATCAATACATTCAGCAAAGACCTTTAGTCAACGTAACAGTTTTGATTGTATTTTTTCAAAGGTAAGTTTTTTTTTTTTTCAAAACTTTCATGGAAGCACTAAAATTTACTCTCAGGACATTTTATTAGTACAAAAAAACCAACTAATTCAAATATTTCAACTAGTCTTGATCGGTTACAACTCTATCTAATCCGATACCATCTAACATAGCCTCGTTGTCAAATACTACTGTGAGTATGCACAATGTTAGAGTATTTGAAAATATCATGCACTATGTACTCAGATGGACATAAAGTTAGAAAATGAAAGTTACCCTTTCATTGATTCAAATAGTGATAGATATACTTTAAGACATGTTTTTCGCTAACATGCAAATAATGCACACTGCACCAGTCACGTATTCATACGTATTAGTAATATTGTATCAGTTAAGATGATTGTAACATGAAATGTTCTACTAAGATCTCAACAAAGACAAATTATAAAGACTTGAATTTCTTTTAAACATACATCATGGAATTCCTTATAATAAGTACAGTAAAAGATTGTCTTGATCTGTAATAATGGATTTAGAGAAAGCTGAAATAAAAGCTGTATGAAATTTTCTAATATATCATTCTAACAATGATTTACATGCATCAGAAAATATAACTTTACAGTCTAAATCAAGTCTGTTGTACAAAAATTTATTGCTCCATAGCGAGAAAGAATTACAAGTATGAATTCATTATTGCAAAGTGAGAGAGTCTTTGGTTTTAACTATTGTAGAAAATTTCACAACGAAATTTTTATGATTTGTTTGCGCAGAGTAGGACTGGTTCTGGACTCAAAAATTTGAGACACGAAGGATTCTAGTTGTCTAAGAAATGTGTACAGTGCGCTAGTCACTGAATACTAAAAGTCAAAATAAAATATCTCGTATCTTCGAAACGTCTATCGAATTTCGATTAGAAAATTTCATAGAGAGTATTAAAGTACAGTTCGATCGGGTTCTAACCCGAATTCAAACATGTTGAATCCGAAGGGCTCTAGTACAGTGATAAATTCAAAATAGACACTAGTCGCAAGAAGTCCCGCTATCCAATAAAAAGAAAATCCAGTTTTTAAATATTTTCACCTCTGTTTTCTTATTAACAAATAACAGTTCGCTTGTCTATATTGTGTCATCGATGAGATGATCTCAATTGATCATCACGATAGTGAAGTTTTTCAGAAAAACTTGATTAGAGAAAATTTTAAGATAAATGCTTAAAATTAGCTGTAGATATGAAATCAATTTTCGACGATTCCCAATTACTCTCATGTAAACATTACTCAAAGAATGTTTATGTTGTCTTGCTAGCTCTTCTATATGAGGATCGATCAAGTCCTTACGATGAAAATTCAACGCATACTATTTGTGATCAAAAAATGGCAGTAAAGAATGAAAGTTTTCACCTAGTAGCAAAACTTTTTGCGAGTATCGTACACTATTACAAACATTTTCATTTACTTCCGATGTAATGCACTTTATGATTTGTCTTTGATGAGATATTTTCAAAATATTCCATATTACAAGTATTTTGCTTCATTCGATTTCTAATATAGGTAAAATTCCTAGAAAAACAAGAAATGATTTACAAAAAAAAACTTAATTTTCTATGAATATAAGAAAACTTTCCAATGATGATTCAATCTTAAAATTTTTGTTTTTTACCTATTGATTTTGTCATTACATTTGTATCAAGACATGCAGCTGCACACCGTTCCATTTTATTTAATGGTGATTTAACAGAAAATTTATCAAATGTAACATTTAATGTATCATAAAAACCTGAATCTAACCATAATTGACATGATGAAAATTGAATTTGATAATTAAATAAATGACCATGTTCAGTATAAAATTTATCTTCAACATAAGCCGAATAAGGTCTTACACCACCACATGTATCACTTGTTTTACCTTCACTATTAGTCGTTTTCATACATGGTATTTTACATAATTGATCTCTTATTCGATTTTGATGCATAAGACCACCACCTGAACATCGACATATTACTCGTTGTAAATAAACTATTGGTGTATTACATAAACGAAAACATAAGTTTGGTTCCATATATGAACTTATAAAAAGACTATCATGAAATGCTTGTTTATAACAACCAACATAATGATATGAACTATAAATTGGATGAGCTATAAAAATTATAATCAATAGAGAAATCATTTTTGAGTCGAACATTATACGTTGAAAGTATATAAGTAAATGATATGTATTGAAAGTGTTACTAATGTAGAAAGCAAAAAAAAAAATACGAAGGAAATATGAGATGTATTGTAATTATTTGGTATCTAGAAATTGATAATAGTAAAAACAAAAAAAAAAGAAAGAAAGACGAATGTTTACTTCTTGTTATTGATATTTGATAGTAAAAGTCATGAGTACTATATTTTATCATAGGAGATTTTAATATAAAAAAAAGGAAGAACACTTTTAGCTCTTGAAACTCGGATATCACTTGTTCGACAGCATATGTGAAATTTAGGTTTCTAAAGACTTCTATTCTACTTCTCGAGATCTATCTATTTTGATGTGCGAAGTTCTCTTAATCATAATGATTATTTTTTATTCCAAAAATGCCGAGAATAAAGATTATGGACCTCTACTGATACCGTAAGTTTTGATCACTTTAGTTTGAGAAAAAAAGTCTTGTAGATTTGTTTTGCGTTATTCTCAAAATCAAGTTTTCTCTCATTTTCTCCTACACGGTACGTTTTATCGAGTTCCAGGTTTCTGTAGAAGTACATTGATCAAACTTTTATACGCTTTTTTTCTTCAAAAAAAGTAGGTTTCTTCTCCTATAGCTCTAGGAACGATACTTTTGAAAGAAAAGAAAACGCACACCTGAGTTTGATCCTAGTGATCATTAAAAAGTTGCAGCTTGAAAGAATGAAGTATAGTATTGTCTATGATAACCTTTGCTCTAATTTCTCGAGATCTATCTGCCTTAAAAGTGTCATCATTTTCTGTCGAGTAGTTCAAGAGAGACTTCGGAAAGGAGAATCCCTTAAGTCAGCAAAATAGCGGCTATCTCTTATTGCTCCATGAGAAAAAATTTGTACGAAACAGCATTTTTATGCCAAAGTTTGAAAACAAAAGTCGTTATTTAACCTTTTAAACATTTTCTTCTCTATTCCAATCCATTTGAGTTCATCTGTAGTGAAGTACGATCTGAAAAGAATGCGGAAATATGTTCTATCCTATTCCACATAGGACAAAAAATTTCGGGAACAGTTCTATCGTAAATTGTCCAGTTTGTGATGGCTTATTCTATAGGACAGTTTTTGCGTCATATCGCATCACAAGCGGAACCTTGGTATATACAACATGCAGTTTTTAAAAACTTCTGAATTTTCTTTATGAAAGTTAGTCTAGTTCATTTTCTATATGGGCAAACTTTTAGAACAAAATTCGAAAATACGAGTTTTTTCGCATACCTGCGACTTCTACAAAACATACATATTAAAAACTCACTAGCTTAGTCAAGTCTCAATACGAATTCAGATTCTTTTTAAAATTTTCATTAGAACACAAAATCGAAGGAGGATATTTGAGAATGTTTCTTCTTATAGCAACACTTTTCACCGGCGTCACACAACGTATATTAATAATATATCGTTCTACTTTTATAAAGTACATAATTATTGCATTTGTGAAGAATTAATAATATGATGGTGAAGAAATGTGTTTCAAAATAGATAGAATATAACAATTGCCCTGTGATTAGCAACAGCAAGTACACATTATATTTCACATTTGAATCGCGTAGCAATTGAGCTAATGCCTTTTTGTTTTTTTCATTTCAAAAACATTTTTTGTTTTAACTTAAAACACTACCTAAAAACAACAATTGTACATGTTCTTGAGAGAATACGATTTTTTTTTCTCGTTTCAAATTAATGCTATTTAAAAGTCTCGTTCGAATGTATTTGACGCGTCTTTTTTTAACATGTGTTTTATTCTGAAAAAAAAATAATAATAAGTTATTTCACATAGACTTGTTGAATGTGTATTTGAATTTGGATTTTTCAGTGAAAATTTTTCATATGAAATAGAAATCTGCTAAAATATAGACAAACATATCGATTGAACAAAGTTGTTAACAAGATAAATTTTTTGACTTTAGTACAATAGCATGCACTTAATTATCATGAAAAGAACAAAAAAGAGCTGCGTAAAAAAACATGGTTATCATAAATGATTAGAACAAGTTTACTTTGATAAGAAAAATATCTTGAGCAAGTTACATGCGCCATTAATAGTAGCCTACCAAGTTAATAATTCTGTTGAATCGTTTCTTAGCAACGATAAATCATAGAATGTTTGTTTTAATGCTTAATAGAATTATAATGATTCATTGTCAAAATATTATTTTTATACTATTTTCAATCCATTCAAAGAAGAACTTTTGTTTTTTTTTTTTGAAAAAGAAAAAAGTACACAATTCTCGCTTATTTATTGTCATTACAAGTTTTAGTTCAGATTCTTATTTTTTGTTAGATTAAAAATTATCAGGATAACTAAGTTCTCTAATTTGTTATCTTGTTTTCAACATTTCCGTTGGTATTTGTGGCTAACAATTTATTATTTGTCGTAGGAAAACAAAAGTAATGATTAACCTAAACAGTGGCGGAAGTAAAGGAAATGTTGTAATCACGGATTTCTATTTTGACTGGAAATCTACCACAGCCAAAGAAGAGAGAAGACCATCGCAATGCGATGATTTTAAAAATAAAGCTACTAACATCGGCAAGATGACAGTAGCCCTGCTATGAACATCGTATCCTGATTACTACGAAAGAAAAAATATATTATTAGCTTGTTTACATCTGTTTATAACGAATTCCATTAATACAATAAATAGAATTTCCATGTGATTCACAGTCACCATCGTGATGATTACGAGCATGATTATGACCAAAAAGTAGTGATCACACCAGTCGTTATCGGTGTGTCCTATTAAGTTTGCTGGTGAAAATTGACTAAGTCAAATATCATTATCCACAAGGAAAATAGTACAACAATTCGTGAGTTCAGTCTCGATATTGATTGCAGACCGATCAATTTAGTCTAATCTTCTCAAGAAGTATCGATCCGTGCCGTTCGAATTTTGTATTGAGCCTACGAACAAGTTTTGGTGAGACTAGCAGAAATCTACAAGGGTTCATTTCCATGGACAGTTGTCGCCGAGTTATTAATCTAATGAATCTTACAATATTCTGAAAATTTCAATTGAAAAGAATATTCTTCGATCAAGAAATTGAATTTTCAATAATATATCTTTATCATAATAATCAAGTTCATGTGAAAACTCAATAACCCAACGAAAAAACATTGTTTTCGTCAAAAACTTGGTTGATATGTACGCTCTGAAACTTTATACTTTGACTGTTATAAACTGATCCTATATTGTTGATATGTGCGCTCTGAAACTTTATACTTCGAGACACTTTGACGGTTTCAGAGTTTCTCGATGTATAAAGTTTCAGAGCGCACATATCAATAATATATGATCAGTTTATGCGCTCTGAAACTTTATACTTCGAGAAACTTTGACTGAACGCCAAAGTTCAATAAACATAAATTTCTATTAGGCTTTTGCTATTTTCACTTAGACTTATCCATGGAATTGAATATGAGTTTAAATAATGGATGTCAGTTGGGTCAATTCCCTTGTGAGAAATGTGCAATAGAATTGTGTAAATATGATTAAAAAAATTAATATCAATAAATGAATAAAAAAAAAAAAAAACTTCAATACAGAAAAATGCGTTTTCAGTGAACAAAAAACACGCATTTCTAACGCAGCCTTTTTATAATATTTTCTTTTTTAATCGAGGTTTTAGTTCCTGTGAACGAGAAATATTATTATATTTCATGTCAAACATAATAAATATTCTTCTTCGTCAATTTGACAGACATAAACATTGAATCACTATTCACATATATATAAAATCGTTCTCTATTCAAATTTTGACATTTTTATTCTTTAAGTAATTCCATTATTGACTCCAGAAGAGGGCTCTAGTATTCATAAAGATTTTTCTTTTGAGCAACCGTCGATTGGTTAATTACACTGCTGTATATATTTCTTTTCTTTTTTCTTTTTTTATCTTTCAGGTTTTTTTTTTTAATTCTTCTATTTTTTTTTACTTTTTTTCTTCCCTTGCATTAGTTTCCATTTACAAAAGATAAATACATACATATACCTTGTCTTCCGACATTTTACACAATCTGTTGAAATATTTACGCGAGATGCATGACGATTCACAAGATAATGAACATAGTAATACTAATATGAATATTAAAATTCTTCTTTTGTTTTTCAAATAAATTTTTGTTTTTTGTGTATGTGTTAGGTAAAAAACATAAAATAGGACATTTACGTGTTGATAATCAAGGAAATGCAACATTTAAACGTTTACCAACTAATCAACTTGTTGATGCCCTTCAATTAGGTATACAACATAGTGTTGGTGGTCTAGAAGCAACACCAGCACATGATGTACTTTATCAAGATTTTCTTACTATTGAAATAATACATTTTCCAAAGTAATAGAAATGAAAACTTCTTTTTTTTTTTTTGTTTTAAACAAACAATTTTCTTTCATATATAGAGCTGGAAAAAATACACCAAAAGCTACACCATCACATCGTTTTAATGATTTTATAATTCGTTCATATGCTCCTGTTGCATTTCGACATTTTCGAGAAAAATTCAATATTAAACCAGAAGATTATTTAGTAAAAAAATAAAAAATTTTTTTTTTGAATATTCATATATTATTATTATTATTTTTTCTATTTTATAGTCATCAATATGTAAACCATTTCGTGAATTAAAAAATCCTGGTGCAAGTGGAAGTTTATTTTATTTAACATCCGATGATGAATTTATAATAAAAACAGTACAAAAAAAAGAAGCAGCATTTTTAAAATCTCTTCTTCCTGGTTATTATATGGTTATTATTTATATAAATATTTTTTGAATTTAAATGTAAATTTTTTTTTCTTTATTTTAGAATGTTACACAAAATCAACGTACACTTTTACCAAAATTTTATGGTCTCTATTGTTATCAAGTATGATTAAAATTTTGTTTTATTTTTTTTTTTTTCGTTAGATAAATAAATATTTAAAATTTTTGAGAATTCAACAAAAATAATAAGATATAAAGATTAAATGAATAGAAAGGATATATTTATATCTATCTAGGTCACAGAATTTTTAACAAGAAATAAAAATGGGTCTGTAAGTGAATTTGCATACTTCAAAGAAGATTTTTTTTTTCTAGCTCATTGATTCATATCTTTATGTGTGAGTGTGTTAAAATGAAGAAAACGAGAGAGAGAGAGAGACAGAAAACAATCATAAATAAGAAAAAACTTCTTTCAAGCTGCTCTATTTCTTCTTCTATTGTCGTTTTATTTTGCTAGTCAAATGTAACTCTTTGGATAAAAAAAAATGAAAATCAATTTTGAATAGTAATGACAAGATAATCTTTTTTTTTTGTTTTCTTGAAATAAAAGTTTTTGACTTTTGTTTATATGTATGTGTATATTCTGCTTTATTCTTTTTCTTTAGCTAAAATAAATATAATTGCCTAAAACAAAAAATAATTCTTTATATATATTTATTTAGGGTGAAAATAAAAATATTCGTATAATTGTTATGAATAATTTAATTCCATCACATATTTATATGCATGAAAAATATGATCTTAAAGGTTCAACATATAAACGACGAGCAAATAGTGAAGAACGACGTAAAGAATCTCCAACATGGAAAGATTTAGATTTTATGGAACGTCATCCAAATGGTTTAATACTTGATTCTGAAACATATGATGCTCTAGCAAAAACAGTTAAACGTGATTGTCGAGTTAGTTTAATAAAATACAAAAAAAAAAAAATGCAAATTTTGTTTTTCTTCTAATGACATATTATTGTGTTTTTTTTAGGTATTAGAAAGTTTTCATATTATGGATTATTCATTTTTAATTGGTGTTCACTATCCTAATGTACATAGAGATTCACCAAAAGTAAAATAAAGTTTGTTTATATATATACATTATATCCGATGTATTTTTTTTTTGCAGGATCCTACCGTTGCAAGTGGTTTATCAAATGGTATGTTGATTTTATTAATTTTAGAATTTCCATAAAAGAATTCTTTTTGTTTAAAGATTCATCATTAGTAACAGCACCATCACTACGGAGAATGTATTCAACACCAATGGCAAATATTCAAGCTGAATTTGAAGAACATAATAAACCTGATGATGATCATTTGGCTAAGTATGTTTATTGTTATCTTATGAAATGTTTCTGACTAAGTTATGATAAGTTTTTTCAAAGACTTCACTCGTTGACAAATAGAGATCAAATAGTAACGAACAGTCTTAGAGAGAGTGCGCCAGAGATGAAACGGTACCAGTTATCGACTGGACCAGTTAGTAAACCGACCTGTCTAACCTTTTCAGACCAGTGCAGTGACGTACGCAGGGGAGGCCGAGGTGCCCGGCCCCCCTCTTGAGACGAAAAAGTCCTGGAGGAGGGTACAGGGAAAAATATTTTCGCGTGATAAAACCTTTTTGCGCCATGGAGGCCCCCTCCTTGAAAAATTTTTGCGTACGCCACTGGACCAGTGTCAGTACTAGTTGTCAAAAAATTCAGATTGGTTCCATCTCTATATCAGGCACTTTGATACAACTTGGCAAATCAAGTTTGTCACTCGATAAACCGTGTTCTCCATATCTAAACTACTTTTTTTTTCTTGCTGTGAATTATCGATGTATCATGCGTTACTGGTAGACCGATCGGTTGCTGATTCGATCTGAAAAATGTTAGATCGGTTCCATCTCTGAAGAGCGCTACACTAGTCTAGACATACATGTATAAAAGAACGATAATTTTAGTTTCATTTCGAAATTTCGATTGCATAAGATATGTTAAAATCGATTTTTTTTCCTTTTCAAAACTAACATAGTTTTACCATGTGCATCGATCATCTTCACCATTAGTATATATGGGGACGGTGCATCCTTATTGACACAATTCGGTGTTCAAATAAGTATTAACCTTCGAAAATTATCAGGCAACTGTTTCATTGCTTAGATCGATTCTTTAAGCGTCTGAAGAGATTTCACAGATTCTTTATTCACGCAATATTTGCTTTGTCACACACACTCTCATTCTTCCTTGTCATATATTTATTAATACATTCGAAAGTTGCATGTGGAATGAGATAATCTCATACCATGGATAGAGTGCTGTGAATTCAAGTTGAAAGTTTTATTTTTATTTTTTTTATCATGTCCGAGCTCATATTTTTTGTGAACTGGTAGCTTCCTATTTGTGGTAAGAAAAAGTTTTTCATCTCATCCTTGAATTTTAGAACTGGTGGTATTCCAGCATTAACAGCTGATGGTCAACGTGTATATCTTTATGTTGGTATCATCGATATATTACAGTCATATCAATTACGAAAAAAACTTGAAAATAAATTTAAATCCGTTATTACAGATGGAGTAAAAGAATAACATTAATAAACTTTATGAAATTTTCGACTAGTTTTTCTTTTATATTTAATTTAGTTACAAATATCTGTAACACATCCAAGTTATTATTCTGAACGATTTCAAAAATTTCTATTTACTAACGTATTCAGAAAAGCACCACGTATGTATTTATCGAATAGTTTTACCACTTGAAACAAAACAAATAACATAAATATATATATAGTATAATTTTCTTTGAATATATTTCTAGCAAGACTATCAAAATCAAGTGTAATGATAGGACAAAGACAAACAATACATAATCTTCATACGAATCCATCATCGAATCATACGTATGAAATAAATTTTTTGTTATTTTCTTTTTTTTTATTCAAAAAAATAAAAATTATATGTTTTGTTTTGTTTTGTTTTTTCAATTAGTCCTTCGATACAGTCATTGAACAGTATACCTCATTTTATTTCATCGAATGTATATGATACAAGTTCAAGTTCAAGTACAGAAATAACAAATAGTCCTTTAACAGTAAATGGTTCATCAATACGATCATCAAAACAAAGTGAACAAAGAAATATTCATGGAAGTTCAACAACATTTAATACAAGTTCACATCGATCAGATTCTTTATATGATGAACCAAGACATATATCATCAGGAAGAATTATAACAACAAAATTTGATAGTAATCATACAGATAATTCAAGAATGAAATTTTATAGAGATTTATCAACACCACCAATTAATGATGATAAAAAACGTCATAATTTATTACAGAAGAATGGAAATGTTGTAAACAAGTTTACATCACCTACTACTAATTTATCACATCGTAAGAATTTTATTATTATTATTATTATTAGAAAATGTATATACTCAATATTCTGTATCAATTTTTGAAATTCGAGAATATATTTGTATAGAAATCTTACGAGAGAACATGTACAAATATTTAATCGTGTTTTTTTTACTTGAGACTATGGATCATTCGATTGATCATAATGATTAGTGAACAATTTTAGTTTTTCAATTGTCACTTGTTAAATTATGAACGTTTTTAGTATTGAATCACTAGGAATAACTGTGCGACTGAATTTTGAATTGAAATTTTGTTCTCTAATCAGGCCTTATTTTCTATAATGTTTCTATCGAAAACTGTTAGAAAAAAAAAAACATTAACCTGCCTTATATTTTACCGTCGATTATAGACTGACGATTCTAAACATATTTTCTAGGAGTTAATCTGTAGTTTTGAGAATTGTCGAGTTTTCATCCAAAGAGACTATTTCAATAATTCATCATGAACGATGAAAATTTGCAAACGTTTGCTTGTTCATTAAAATGAAATTCTATTTTAAGATATCAAATTTCCTTAGATCTCAGACATACTTGAAACTATGATACTTATTTAAGTTTTAATGACTTCTATAGAATAGATAAAAGTGTTTGTTGTTGAAATTAATTAATATTTTTATTAATTTGGAAAATATTTCTTGATAATGAAATTCTCCTAAAGCTTAAATAAAATTTGATTCAAGAGAAGAGATATTATTTTAAATTTTTGTATGAAAAGAAAACGATTTTCTTTAAACATTTGCATATTTAATAGATTGAAATAAATTGTTAGTTTTTGATGAAGTAATTTCTTTTTCCTTAGCTGTTATGTGAGAGAATATTATCTATTTCAAACTATTGCAAATAAAAAATCAAAGACTTCTTTAATTCGTTTACTTTATTTCGATAGAAATCAGTAACATATATGACGTTCTTGACAGTTTACTCATATTTATTTGTCTGACACCACTTAACTAACATTAGATAGAACATAGTACAAGGTTAACTTTTACAGACAATCTTATTATAGCTGTACAGTTTGATGTATTATTGTTTATATTGATTAAAGTTGATCGATATTGAAACATGACAGTCATTTATTGTGAAGGTTTCAATTAGTTATTCATAAGTATTAGTAAATATTTGCGAATACCCTAAAAAAAGAAAAAGAAAGCAAATACAGATCTGGTGTTGTTAACATGGAGAGCTGTCTGAGTTATGCTTATGGACATCAAAATAAAAGCAATTATAATATAGTCTACAAACATTAATAACTGGATCGTTTCTCCGAACTTTTTTTTTCTATTAATTAGGAATACTTTCAAAAAAAAAAATCTACTATTTTTAGATGTTTATATATAATCAAGTAAAAATAGTAGTCTCTTGAAAGTATTCATGCTTAAGAGAAAATAATATCCTAAGTATCTGTATACTAGAGAAACCTTGATAATCATGTGTACCATGACAATATCTCCTTTTCTTTTGAAAAGTGGATATTTGTGAATTTCTTTTTTTTTAGATACTTTTATTCTGTTGTTGTGAAAAGAACTCAAAAACCTTTACCTATTATTTCGGTCAGATCTATGTTCGCTTAGTTCACTTATACTCATTATTAGTTGATATCTGCCATGTTCAATTTAATTTGAAAATGAATCGATTGATTTATTCTGTCTAAAATAGATTGATTATTGATGATAATTATATTTTGATGAATTATATATTCTAATTTTAGGCAGCAATTTATCAGAGTATCCTTTAAAACATCATAAGCAAAATCATCAATCATCAGAGGACATACAATCAGTATGTATTAGAATATAATTATATTTCTATATTTATTTTTCTGAAATTATCAAATAAGCAAATTGATAAAAAAATTTTTTTGTTTCTTTCTATTTTTTAGACTCGACTTTGATATACGAACAATTTCATGCACATAAAAAAAAAAACTTTAATTGTATGACTTTAGTTTGTTTTTATTTCTAACTTACAATGTAGATCAATGTTTGTATATATCAAAAATTTTAATATATTCTTGAATAAGATTATTTTTGTTTAGTGGCGAACAACAGCAAAGAAAAAACAAAAAATTTCAATTCAAACTTATGTAGTTATCCCGGTGTTTTTCTATGAAAAAAAAAATAAATTAATTTTATGTATGCTACAAGTTTTTCTTTTGTCTTGTTGTTTATTAATTGTTTTTTATTTATTTATTATTAATGTGAATTTTTTTTTAAATTTATCTTTTCAGCTTTTGATATAATGCTTTTTGCTGTTGTTGTTTTTTTTTTTGTTTTTTTAATATTTAATTTTATTTTCAAATAAAATTTAAATGAATTACAGAATGTAATCGATTGTTTTCTTCTTTTTTTTTTTTTGAAATATTTAGGAAGTCATATGTAGTAGAACAGTGTTTTTTTGTATCCTGATGATATGTCGTCGAACGAGTTCAATATACTCGAAATTTAATTATGACACAAGTCGTCTTAGTGAAATCAACGGTAATCTACGATTATCTTCGAAAAACAAGACTAATTATAGAAAATTTTCTTGTCAACAAACATGATGTAATTAGCATAGATTACTAATCTAGAAAGTAGAAAATTTATCTAATTCTCTAAAATTTGAAATGCAAACAACTTGTCTAATTATATGTTACTTTTACTAACGAACACGGAAATATTTTCAAATTATCAGATGCATTAGAATTCAGGCTCTATGTATAAGATAGTAAAATCCAGTTAGATATAAGAAACCTCGAAAGAATATTAAATTAAAGGTAATTTCCTAGAATTTTTATCTCTGGCTTGATATATAAGAACGACTCGAATGATAGTATTTCCGTCTAGGATTTTCCTGATAGACAAATCTATTTGTCAGTAGAATGCTCGGAAAATTTCAGCTCGAAATAATGTTTCTTTCTTGAGATAGTAAAAATCTTCATATTTTTTGAGATTGTAATATCTTGCAAATGGAACATTATTTTCAACTGAAATTTTCAGGATGTGCTACTAATTAATAAATAGAACTACTTGTTGACAAAATCTTGGATCAAAATACCATCATTCGATTCATTCGTATATATCAAACCCGAGACTAAAATTCTAGTAAAATGCCTAAGCGGACTTAGCCTTTCGTGATTTTTGTTTTTTATAGCTTGCTCAAGTCTACATTATGCATGCAGTTCAAATTCTAAAGGCATTGTTCAGTTCAAAATGTTTCCTTGTAAGTGTTTCGTAAATGAATGATATCCTTTTAAAGCTTATAAACTACTAATATTTATCATTGTTAATATTTAAAAGAAAAATGAATTATGTAATTTTAGGCTTAGTACTAAATATTAGAATGACAACATTGACTTTGCATTAAATATGAAACATGAAGAAAATTTTCAATTGTTGAATAATTGGAAGTCTTATATAAATGTTCGTTCTTTACTTTCAAGCAAAATGTTTATTACATAATAGTACTATTATATATTTAGGAAATCGAAATAACTCGTTATGCAATGTTCTATTCAATATGAGAGCTGTGCGGGCGACCAATCTCCAAAAATCGGGTTGATTTTCATAGAGTTTGTGGCTGTTGTAACACATACTGTGTCTGCACTCCTAAAAATAGATGTTCATCCTTCTGGAATATTAAATGGGCCCTCGAGCAGAAAAAGAAATCTGGATAAAAGACATTTCTATTTATCATTCTTCTATCTTATTGATCAAAATAAACAGCATATCTAATATTTTACCATATATTATCATTTGGTCACATACATATCTTACAAATATTCAACTTATTTGAAAAATTTAATGAGAAATTACAATTAGAAAATTACGCATAAGGTATATTTTTTTTTTCGAAATTTCTCAGTAACTTTTTCGATTAAATTCAATATTTAGGATATAAATATAGAATCGTATCATATCAATTAAAGATTTCTTATCAAAGTGAAATATTTCAATAATACAACAATCAGAAGAGAAAGAAAAAAACAATTATAAAATAACCCTCGACATTTTTGTTAAAATATATAATATGAATAGATATTATATAAAAAAAAAACAAACAAAGAAAAAACTATACAATTTTTTTTTTGTTTGATGTATAGAATATATAAATGAACCTTCACAGGTAATTATAGCCATTTTCACCTTGGCCTTCGAGTTGTACAATCAAAAGTCGTTTTTTGTTAAGTAAGAAGAAAAACGACATGTAGTATATATATATAAATGCATATGTACATGCATACTTATATTATTCACTTTTGATTTGATTGCATTTATATGACGCACACCTATAACGAATCTTATTTCATCAAGTTCTACTTCTTTTTTTCATTCTGGAAGAAAAATAGATAGACAGGAAAAGAAAAAAAGAAAAGAAAAAAAAAAAAAAAGAATCTTTTCTTTTTGTTATTTGTGCCTTTCTTGATTACTCGCTTTGACTATAAAGGAAAAAAAGCAAAAAAGACGAAGAAGCTTGTCGATTAGCACAATAAGCTTACTGTCACGAATATAATACATTTATAAGTATTCGTAACAAATGTTATCTATTTTTTAACTAACCAAAAAAAAAAACTACATATATTATTTATTATAGATTATATCTTATTATTTTTTTTTTGTCTTATTATTTGATGTTGTTTTTACATGATACATAATGACGGCTACTGAACAACGTACAACGGATTTATTTCGTCGTCATCCATCATCAACTGTATCATGTATATCATCGAATGTTGGTTCAATAACAGATTTTCTTCTCACTTCCGAACACTCCTCATTAAATAAGGATGAACAATTATTAGAAAATAGTAAAGTAGAAGATATATCAGTAAGATTTTATTTAAAAAAAAAAAAAAAACAAAGAGAAATTTTCTTTTTTTTTTTTTGTAAAAAAAAGATCAGTGAAAATGTTAATGAATCATTAAATGAATTAAATATATCGGGTAATAAAGAAAAATTAGGTCATCGTCGTGTTGATGAAACTGGACATGTATCATATAAACGTGTTATGGTTGATGATCTTATAAAATCATTCCAAATCGGTCTTAATTATGTTCTTGGTAAACATCATCAACCACAACGTCAAGTACTTTTTCAAGATTTTAAACAAGTTGAATATCAAGATTTTCCATCGTAAGAATAGTTTTTGTTGTTTATTTAAGTAATTAATTGATAAGAACACAAAAAAACAAAAAGTACTTGCTTGATTTCATGATGACGTCGATTATAAAAAAAAAAATAAACAATATGATGCGTATTTTCAATGGAGCACGACGATATTTATACGTTGGAGAATGTCTAAGTGCGTTTACTATGATCATTTGTCATTCTTGATTTAAAATGATAAAGAACACTCGGTGTAAAGAAGTTTTCATTTTGTTTTTTTTTTTTTAATTATTTATCATAATATTAAAATGATTGAATTCCTGTTGACAAAAAAAAAAAAAAAAAGTTTGTTCATTTAGGAGTAATCACAAACATTCTGTATATACGATAAATTTTTAATCTTTATTATATTGTATTAAAAATTTTTTGAATAAGAATTTTTAGAATATATTCTTATTGTTTGAAAATAAATTTCTTTTTTTTCATAAGAAAAACAAAAAATCACTTTCGTTTAATGAAAAAAAAATCGAACTCAAAATTTCGAAAAAAACTAATTTTAGTCTTGATTTTTCTTAAATATCGAATAGTTAGCAGTATTACTCGTTGGTAAGTAAAGTTAGAAATTTTTCTTATCGTTACACTGATTGATTGAAGAAGGGGATTTGCAACTATTGTAATATGTGGTCCCCGTTAATAGTTTATGATATAAGGTTAAAAAAGAACAACACTAGATTTGAAGCATTGTTATTCACGTTACTTTAACCCGATAAAGTAAATTATTTGCACTCTATTTTATTGATATAAACTAAAGATAAAGTGCCACCTCTAAACATTATCTAATAAAGCAACGCAAATGCTAATTTCGTAAGATCTCGTATACTTATGGAGAATATGCGAGCTAAGAGTTCATACTGGACAAAAACTACATTTTTGATTTTGTATTTCGAACTGAGCACATCTAGATTGACTTGTTTTTGTTTTATCAATATCGAGCATGCTATATGTTGTATGAATAAGTAAAGAATAAGATTACATATCTTGATTGTATTATTTTCAGTAGAAAAAGTCAATGTTAGCTTAAGTGTTGTGCACTCTATCATCGTGTTTCTTTCGGAACATATTAAAGACTTTCGTTATTAACTTGAAATCTTTTCTATTCAGACTTGATGCTAAATGTAAATTGGGAAAAAACTGTTTTGCAAGTTTAAATTGTTAAATACGATATAGTTGTTGTGTTGTTGCTTATCATAAGAAGATTCTTTTTAATTCTATCTATTTCGAAACATATTTCTATATCATCCTTCTCCAGAAATATAATAAAGTAATTCATATAATAGAACGAGACGTTATTGATAGACAGTCCTTGATTATATATCAATAATGTTTATCAGGGTTTCTAATTAGTGTCTGTCACGGTCTGTGGAATTTAAATTTTTATTCCCGATACTTTATCGCTCACTTTTCGATTGTATTTCAAAAATTCTTTTTACAACCTTGGTATTCATACATAAAATAGTATTTTCATGAGAAAATAGTTTTTTTGGTAAACATACAAGTATAACGATTTGTAAGAGTATAGCATGCTCTTTGCACTGACATATACAAAACACAATTTACATTTTAACCCTTTACCCCCGACAGTGATTCTAGAAGAGTCGTTGATAAAATAACTTTACAAATAGAATATTAGTCTGTCTAATATGCTAATGATGTGGTCTAATTCTTCGCGTGTCTATATCATTATGTAGAACTATTTGATTGGTACAACGACATGTTAAGCCTTGATTTCTTTTTTTCGTTGACCATATTATTCAGTAGACAAAAACAACATCAATCCTCTATTATTGCGATAATCAAAAAAAAAGAAAGAAGTGAACCGATAAAAATTAATCTCAAAAGAATACGTATGTTTTTGACATATCTAATTTTGTTTTGAGTCATTTCATAATCTCGGAAGACATTTCAATCAAAATAAATAACTATATCAATATCTCATGAATTGAATTTGAACTTTGTTCTTGATTGTTCAATAATAACTTCATAGTCAATTCTATTGTTTTTAAATTTCATACTGAATTTATTTTCTGCAAATCATTTTTAAAATATGAAAAATCGATTAATTCATTTCATAAATGAATTTATTATGTTTAATTTATATAGAGATGGTTCAAAATCAACACCTAAACATCCATATGCTGAATTTCAATTAAAAACTTATGCACAAACAGCATTTCGTTTTTTTCGTGATGCCTTTGGTATTGATCCATCTTCGTTTATGGTAAGGATCATCATAATTGAAAAAAAGAAAATAGAATTAGTTTAATTTCAATTCTCATTTTTTATTTTTGTTTTCATATTTTAGTTATCACTTTGTGCTAAAGATTTACGTGAATTACCAAATCCAGGTGCAAGTGGTTCAATTTTTTATATAACAGCTGATGATGCATATGTTATAAAAACAGTATCAAAAAAAGAAGCAAAATTTTTACTTAGTCTTTTACCTAGTTGTTATATGAATTTAACACAGAATCCTTTTACATTATTACCAAAATTTTTTGGTCTTTTTTGTTATCAAAGTTTTAATAAAAATATTCGTTTTGTTATAATGAATAATTTAATACCAGTAAATGTTAAATTATATGAAAAATATGATTTAAAAGGTTCAATTTATAAACGAAAAGCATCTGAAGAAGAACATAAACGTGATTTACCAACATTAAAAGATAATGATTTTAAAAGTCAACATCCATATGGTTTAACATTAGAACCATTTTTCTATGATCAATTAATACAAACAATTGAAGATGATGTTCAAGTAAGGAAAATTTTATATATAATAAAGTATAATCAAAATTCTATCAAGTAAAAACAAAAAAAAAAACAGAAATTAATAGATTTAAGTTAAGATATGAGTAAATGAAAAAGACCGTTTAGATACGAATTCAAATAATAAAACTTCATTATGTCGGTCATAACTCTTGATCATGAATCCTTTATGATTTTCTTAATTCCATCGAAATCTACTCGTCACCATAATATGCAATTGGATATATTCTCTTGCTAAGGCTATAAACGATAGTCGATAGTCTGAATATAGTAAACCGAAGAGAGCTTTACGCTCTACACACTCCTCTAAGTAAAATTTACTTTGAATATTTTTTATTCATTTATGAAACATGATCTATAAGAAGTGTTTAAGCATAAGAGTAGAAATTTGCACCTTCCTGTCTTTAAAATATATGAACTACGTTCTTATTGCATTTTCAAAAGATTGAGTAACAGGATAACTTTTAAAAATCGATGAAATCAAACAATCTCCTTGTAGTTAGTAACAGTAATTGTATTGTGTTTCACAATTTAATCTTATAGGAATTGTGCTAATAGCTTTTTTCTTTTCTTCAAGTATCAATTAAATTTTGTTGTCAATAAAAAGATTCATTTCTTTCAATAATAAAATATATTTTAGATTTTGAGTAGTTTTGATATAATGGATTATTCACTTCTATTAGCTGTTCATAATATAACAGAAGAAATGAAATCAACACAAAATCTACCACTTATGTCATCATTAGCATTAAACGAAATAACAATTGAAAATGAAACAAATTCATCAGATACAATGACTAATAAATCATTAAATATGAATGAAGAATCAATAACAATACCAACAGATTCTAATATTACTATGACACAATCATCTCATCATCCAACTTATATACAATATTTACGTGTTATTGAATTTATTCGTGCACAACAAGAACAATCAATTCTTAATACTAAACAAACATTATCAGATACTCCTATTGATAATTGTGATACAGCAAGTATTCAAACAGTTAAACAAGAATTATCACCAGTATTAAATACAACAACAGAAACAACATTACAAACAAATGAAGAATCATCAAATTCAACTAATATAATATTAAATCCAAATAGTAAACTATCAATATAAATCATAACATCAATTCATTCATTATCATCATTTTGTTTAGCTTTTGGTTTAATTGGTGGTGATGTTTGGTTCAATCGACAAAATCTTTCACGTCTTGCAATGTATGTTGTCTTTTCTTTTTTTTTTTTTTTGATTCAAATAAGAAACTTCTTTATATATTAATTGGTGAGATAAATAATGCTCATTAACTTTCTCTTTAATATAAAATATGCTTTAATATTAATATATATATACGATTAAATCAGATTGTTTTTCGTTAAACCTTACAGCTTCTCTATATTAGATTAATATTTTGAACTTACAAACTTTCTGATAGAAACATAACAAGAGCTTTAGCATATTATTACTATCAAATTAAAATAAAGCTTCAAAATTTAAGAGCTATCATAGATAGAAATATAAGCCGATGTATTGATCGGCGGCAGTATTGCAGCTGAATCGTTTAAATATTGAAGACGACGGCATGATGGAATCGTTTATGCATTGACGAAGGTGACTAATCTATCTTAAAAATATTGTGGTGATGAAATTTGAAAATTTCCTTCAAAAATCAACGACGATTAAGTCGATCTGGTTACACCTCTAATTACATAGTCTAATAGGAAAAAATAAATAAAAGTATGCCTTTGTCTATCTATTATTGAATGTTTTTATAATAATATTGCTACAATTTTTGAGAAATTATTTGTGTTTACATACTAAAATAAATTTTGTGTCTTTTTTCTTTCTTTTTACATAGGGCTGGTATACCAGCTGTGAATGACAAGGGTGATTTATTATTATTATATGTTGGTATTATTGATATACTACAAGATTATCGTCTTCGTAAAAAATTAGAACATGTATTCAAATCAACATTAGTAACTAGGGTATAATTATTGAAAAAAAAACAAAACACAAAAAAAAAATTTACATTGAAATAAAATTTGTTGTTTTTTTTTAATAGGAAGAAATATCTGTTTGTAATCCAAGTCATTATGGTGCTCGTTTTGTCAGATTTATTTCACATAGAGTATTTCGAAAAGGTATGTATTTTAAAAATAGCATCTAATACTAGTCTTATAACGAACAAATGTCAACGAATTGCACTAGTCGTCAATAAGGCAATTATACCGATTTATGGAGAAATGGAAAAGAAAAAATAGAAATATATGTCTATCTATTATGATGTTTGTACGTTATATTCAAAAGGAAATCGTTTATTTTTTCAATCAGAAGCTATTAGATAATGTCATTGAGTAGAAAGAGAAATTGACAGCATAAAAAAAGAAATGTCATACTAATACTGTATTCCAGCAGTATTAATGTTGTTAAGATCAATCAAATAAACTTGCTCTATTGTGAAATATTTTGGATCTTGCTTGTATGAAACCAATCATAATTCATTTCTGCTAAGGAAATGCTTGAAACTGCAAAATATGGATTATGAGTATTTTGAACTTCTGTTAGTGCAATTGAAAACAGTTGAAGGATTTTATATAAATTATGCATTTCTTCTTATGTAAATGGATTTAAGGAACTTCTACCATTGTTGTAAAAAATCATCACTCCATGACTTTGTGATGAGAGTATTATTTCTTTGGTTATTTTTGTATATTATTTAAGCTCTTGTCCGCCTATCATTGCACAATATAAACATGTTTCAAACATTTGACAGAAATCAATCTTATATGAAATTCGAACTTATAAATAATTATCTATCTGTCATTATTTAGGAGGTCGAACTGGAAACACTTTACTATCTGATAGTCAGTCAAATACAGATGGCATTACTTTTAATAGTAGCAAGTAAGAATATTTGTTATTTTTAATTTATCATATTAAATTAAATTAAATTTAGATTATTCAATCCATCTTCATCAAATCGTTCTCAAATAAGTGATGATAGTTCATCAATAACGAACAATATCAACGAAATATATAAAAAAAGATCTTGATTTAATATATATATATATATGGATTTTTTTTTTTCTTCATTTTTGTCTTTCTTTAAATAACGATGATCTCTTCAATAATTGTTTTCTTTTTCTATTAAAAACCAAGATAAAATAAATCATGCATGTAATGTTTTTCTTTTTTTCTTCTCTTTTCTTGTCTTCTAAACTGTTATGCATTCATATGTAAATTTATATTAAAATAAAACAAAAAAAACAGAAGCCATAAGAACAAATAAAATGACTTGTTTAAATAAAAGAAATAAAAGAAAAATCTTTTTTATCAGATATTTAAATATAAAATGATTCTACTACGAAAAATTATCAAATCATCAATTCATATTCGATCCTCTAGTCGGTATGTTAATATTTATAAATATGATGATTCGAAAGAAAAAAAAACAAATACGAATAATTATTATTTAGTATATCATTTCGAATTAATGAATTAGCACGATTTAGTGATGGTAGTGCAATAGCTCAAGTGATTATTTTCAGAAAACATTGATAATTTTTTATGAATTGTTTTTCTTTATGTATATAGTTAAATAACACAAGTGTACTTGTTACAAGTGTTAGTAAAGCTAAAACATTATCATCAAGTCAACCATCATTTTTACCATTAACTGTATTATGAAAAGAATCAAGGTTTTTGTTTGTCGTTATTTCTTTATGTATTTTTTAATCTTAGGTTGACTATCGAGAAAAAGCAGCAGCAGCTGGTCGAATACCAACAAATTATTTACGAAGAGAATTAGGTTTAACGGATCATGAAATTTTGACTGGACGCATGATTGGTAGGATAAAGATGAAATATATCTTTCTTTTTTTTTATACATATAAGAATATGTATAATATTATTATTAATTGTTTAGATCGTTCAATAAGACCTTTATTTCTGAATGGATATGTCTATGATACACAAGTAAAGTTTATCTTTTCAAGGGTGTCTCAATAAAGTTCTAGGTCCCAACGAAAATTAGTTTACATCTATACAAACAGTGATTCCTATATCCGACTATGTTTATATGAGTTTCGAGCTAATTCTTAGGCTGTGAATACAGGAGATAGTCAACTTCACATCCTAGATTTACTATGCATTTCAAAATATAATGTGCTTTACTGCTTTTAAATAAATGTCAATAGACACATTATAAAAACTCGCAAATCTGTTCTTGATACAGATTTTGGAACAGGATATTTTCTTTTCGGTCTATACAAGACCGGCATTTCTAGCTTGTTCCATTCGAAGAGTATAAGACTTTTCCTAAGACCACTGATTTCAGCCAATTGACCTGTGAGCACTCAGAACAGCATCTAAACAGGACTGAGTCGTATAGTGTTTTCGAAATATCGACTTTTTTTGTGATATGAAAGCTGATTATGCAATTTTAGAAATATTGACAAAACAGAGTCAGACCATTTCAAGGCTAAGAACAAATATCAGCCTTTGTCTCAGAGTGTTGAATTATCCCTACTTAGCTGCTTTCTTCGATGATACAAACCAATTGGCTGATATTAAGAATCTTAGGAAAAGTCTTATAACTTTAGAATAAAACAATCTAGGAATGTCGATCTTTTTATAAATCAAAATGAAAATACAGATTGACATTACAAACAATGAATTCATAGTTCATTAAAACTTCTTAATTTACATATTAACTAATTTTCGTTGAGGTTCAGAACTCATTGAACACCTTTTATGATTATAAATAAATTATTTTTTTTTCTAATAGGTTACTTGTAATATATTGTCTGTAGATGGTATAATAGAACCTGATGTATTAGCTATTAATGCAGGTATGAATATGAAAAGTTGTTCCATAAATGCTGAAGAAATTCATAACATTTTCTTTTCTACGACTCTTACTTAAATTTACAAGCAATCAAAAAACTGCTGAAGTTATACATAGGATCTCTTCTCTTCCTCACTGTCACCATCATCCCGCCATTTTCGTGAGCATTTGTATGGGGCGCAAAAGCTCTGTTATTGTGATGAAGCTTTGTTTTCAATAGTAGAGCAGTGAATTGACTTCAGTTAAATCTAAAGTTCTTCAAATATAATAAACCAGTGAATCAAATGTTCAAAATGGAAAATACTTTCTTTTTATAGTTTGTTCTTGATATCTACTTAAGCTTACTATAAAAGTATATTGTCATCTACATCCTACTATTTTTGTTATGTTCTAAGTATATAAAATATTAATTTTTCTTAGAAATTTATCTCAAAAATTGTTTTATTTAGCTTCTGCATCATTAGCAACATCCGATATTCCTTGGAATGGACCGATTGGTAAGCTTTATTTTTTTGGCTAAATTTATTTTAATTGATGATTTTCCGATTAGCTGCTGTTCGTATTGGTTCTATTGATGGACAATTTATTGTAAATCCTACTCGTCAACAAATGCAAAAAAGTGATCTTAATCTAGTTGTATCAGTTAATCCTAAAGGACATCTTGGTAAAAAATACAAAATCTTAAACTATAAAAATTATTTTCTTTTTTCTTTTTCGTTTTGTTTAGTAATGATTGATGCATCAGCAAATCGTTTATCTGATGAAAAATTTTTTTCTGCACTTGAATATAGTATTGAATGTTGTCTTTCAATAATTGATGAAATAAAAAAACTTTCAACTAAAACAAAACGTACAAATATTGAATTACAAAAATTTGATAATGTTTTAATTGAAAAAATTACAACATTATGTTATGATCGTCTTCTAAAAATTTTTACTGATTCTACACTTGATAAAATTGCACGTGATATAGCTATTACAGGTATACGTCAAGATATTCTTAATCAATTATTATTAAAAGAAGAAATCTCATCAACAAATCTATCAGATACATTTACATATGTTGTTAAAAAAATATTTCGTAATTTAATATTTGAAAAATCACATCGATGTGATGGTCGTCTATTTGATCAATTACGTCCAATTAATTGTAAAATTAATTTATATGAACCATTACATGGTTCAGCTTTATTTCAACGTGGTCAAACACAAGTATTATGTACAGTTGCATTTGATGCACTTGATTCACAATATCGTAATAATGATTTTGTATGGAGAACAGGTTTGAAACGTAAACCATTTATTCTTCATTATGAATTTCCACCTTATGCAACAAATGAAATTGGTCGAGCATATGGACGAGCTGATCGAAGAGAATTAGGTCATGGAGCTTTAGCAGAAAAAGGTGTTGAACCTATTGTACCTAATGAATTACCATTTATGATTCGATTAACATCAGAAGTATTAGAATCTAATGGATCATCATCTATGGCTAGTGTATGTGCTGCAAGTTTAGCACTTATGGAAGCAGGTAAAATCAGATTTTGAACAACTTTCCTTGGAAGGAATTTTTATTAAAGCATAAATTGAACATAGAGAGAAAATTGAGATATCTGTTTGTTTATACTTTCTAAGAGACAAATAATCGAATTTTCTAGCAACCGAAACAGTATTTCGAAGGCTTATACACGACTCTATAAGAGACTACTAAAAGCTGTCTCATTATTATTTACAAGGAAACTACTCAAACTGATATCCGCTGTTTGAGCTCGTATTGAACCTACAAGAACATCTCGGAAAGACTAGAAAAAGCTCAACAGGGTTTATTTTCATGGACCTTTGAAATTGAGTCAGAATTGCTTTACTGAATTATTGGCCTAGCTTTAAATATATATCAAAAGTCGGGTAATTCTTTTGTTAGAAATTAATGCAAAGTATGCCTAAAACATGTTGCTTAATTGAGATCAAATATTGAAATATAGGTTCTTAGTTCAATAATTCCGGTTGGGATAGTCAGAAGAACGATAAAAACTTGGAAGTAGAAATTCAATGATCGGAATCGATCATTGAATTTCTACTTTCAAGTTCCTATCATTTTTTCGAGTTCTCTAGCATGAAATTGAAAACTTTTATATGATTGTTTTGTATTTCTCTTAATAAAATTTCTGTGCACAATTTTATAGGTATACAAATTCATGAACCTGTTGCTGGTGTTGCTATAGGTCTTGTATCAAAATGTGCAGACGATGGTACGGTTACTGATTATCGTGTATTAACTGATATACTTGTAAATATTTTCTTTTTTGATAAATTTCAATCTTAGAATGTATTTTGTTTTGTTTAATAGGGTATTGAAGATTATATGGGTGATACAGATTTTAAAGTAGCTGGAACACGAAATAGTATAACAGCATTACAAGTATCTTTTTAAAAGGAAATTCTTTTTCTTTTGAAATTCTCTCTCTTTTTCTATCTAGGCTGATATAAAGAATATGGAAGGATTACCATTGAATATTGTTAAAGATGCACTTCGAGCTGCACGAGGTTATATAAAATCTATGTGTGCATATTGTTCTTTTTTTTTTATTTTGAAAATTATTTATTCTATAGATGCTCGTTGTAAAATAATTGATATTATGAATAAAACAATAAGTGAACCACGAAAAACTAAAAAACAGAATACACCTGAAATAGAAACATTAACTATACCAAGTCATAAACGTGGTCGATTTCTTGGTATTGGTGGTTTAAATTTAAAGAAAATTTTAGCACAAACTGGTATTTAAAAATTGAAATTATTCTTTTCTTTTTCTCATTATTTATTTCATGAATTTAGGTGTAACAATATTACCAATTGATGAAATTACTTATTCAATATTTGCACCAAATAAAGATGCTTTAAATGAAGCAAAACAGATTATTGATAAACTTTTAGAAGAAATGAAAGAACCAGAACTTGAATTTGGTGGAATTTATACGGCTAAAATTGTTGAAATACGTTCTAATGGTATTCTTATACAATTATATCCAACAATGCCACCTGTTCTATTACCAAATTCACAACTTGATCGACGAAAAGTAATGTATATAGTTTGTCGAAAAGTAACAGGGTTGACCGAAGTCAGCCAACATTAAGGGGAGCGTGTACATATTTGTTTTTCAAGAGAATACAAGAAGAAAGGTCAATGCGAGTCCACTGGTAAAAAG